CTACAGTATGCTGGTCTGAATTTGGGTTGAATTGTAATAATTCATGTCTAGTTCTGATTCATGAGACACATGTGCTCAGAAGCATGGCACTAATGGGTTTATCTCACTGCCTAGCTCCTCTCTAAAATCTCAACTTCCTGTTCACCATGAGATGAACAAGACTTCATGGCTATCCTGCCATGAAACCAGTCCATGATGGACTGAAGTGTGAATCAAAACAAACCTTTTTTCCTTTAAATTGTAGGGTGGCAGGTACTGTGTCTAACTTAGGAGGAAGATCCTTAGAACAGACATATGCCAATGAGTGCTATAGCTACATCACATTGTTATGTATACTTTGACATTCTTGGGGAATCTCCATACTATTTGCCATCATAGTTCTACTAGTTCATGTTAGTATCCATTGTGTACAAGAATTCCTTATCTTTTCCCACCATGTATATTCTCCAGTTTATATGTTTTCTTGTATGTTTTATGATAGCCATGCTGACTGCAGTGAGATGAAATCTCAATTGCATTTTCCTAAATTCTAACGATTAATTTTCCTAAATTTGCTCAACATTTTTGACATATTTATTAGTCATTTGTACTTCTTTAAAAAGTGTCTGTTCAATTCATTTACCCATTTATTTCTTGGTTATTTGTTTTGTGGAGTTAATTTTTACTAGTTCTTTATGTGTTCTAGATATTAAACCTCAAAAAAAGAGTAACTCACAAAAATTTTCTTTCACTCTCTAGAACTGTCCCTTTACTCTATTGATGGTACTTTGCTGCACAGAAGCTCTTCAATTTCTTGATTCTTGCTAATTAGGGTCCTTTGCATGGAGCACTTCCCTATGTTTATATCTTCAAGGTGTTTCTGTGCTCTCTTCTAGTAATTTCAGTTTCTATTATTTTCACCTCAGTTTTTAGTCAGTTTTGATTTGAGCTCAGTACAAATGAGGGATGCTGATCTAGTTTTTAGCCTTCCGCATGTGGATATGCAGATTTCTTAGCATTGTCTATTAACAGTGCTGTTTTTTTCTCCAGTGTATATTTTGGTCCTGTTGCCAAGATGGCTGTATATGCATGGGTTTGAGTCTGTACTGTGTGCATCACTGTCTTGGGCAGAACCATGTTCTGGAGTAGTTTCTAGGTCTTCCAAAAAGAGTTGTATCATCTGCATATGGGGTAATCTGACTGTATCTTTTCCCATTTATACCTTGCATTTCTCTTCTGCTTGCCTAATTTCTCTAACATCTTAAGTACTATACGAATAAGAGTCATGAAAATGAATTCCATTTTCTTGGTCCTGATTTTATAATAACCATTCATTTTTTCCCCTGGTCATTATAATGTTGGTCAAGGGTTTGTTGTACATGGCTTTTATTACTTTGAACAAAGGGATTTTTTTTCACTGTTTCCTTCGGGGTTTATAATGAGAGGATGCTGAATTTGTGGGAATGATTTTTCTGAAAATCAGTTGAGATTTGGTAATTTTTATCTTTTATTATATGTATGTAGTATATTTATTGGTGTACATATCTTGAACCATCTCTGAATTCCTTTGCTTATGATCTTTGTAATGTGTTATTGAATTTTGTTTGAGGGAATCTTATTGAAGATTTTGCAAATATGTTTATTGATGATATTGGCTTGTCATTTTCTTTTGTTCTTGTTGTTAGGTCCTTGTCTACTTTTCAAATCAGAGTGGCTTCATAGAGTGAATTAAGAAGTATTATTCCAATTTTGTTTAATGAAAATTTTTCAGGTAACTGGTAATAATTCTAAAGATCTGGTAAAATTTAGCTGTGAATTCATCAGGTCCTTTATGTATCCTTGTTTCTTATTCTTTCAATCTCACTGTTTGTCATTAATCAACTTAGAGTTTTATATCATTTGTTTATACTTAGAAGGTTGCATTTTTCTAAAAATATGTCTAATTCCTCTAGACACTTCAATTTATAGTAGTATGAGTTTTCAAAATATTTTCTAACAATCCTCAGAATGTCAGCAAAGAATTCAATTAGTGGAGTGAAGAAACATCTACAGAATAAAAAAAAAAAAAAAAATAAATAAATAAATAAATAAAACCTATTTGCCAGTTATTCCTGAATAATACTACCTAGAACTCAAGAAAATTAGATCACCTAAAACAAAAGACCCAATCAAGAAATGGGCTAGTGAAATGAATAAACATTTTTCAGGTGTACAAATGGCCAAGAAATGTATAAAGATTTTCAACTTGTATGGCCATTAATAAAATACAAATTAAAGCAGCACTTAGATTCCATCTGCCACAGGGAAAGAAGTCATGGTGTGGTATGTCTGTAGTGATGAAAGAACTCGCCTACTTTTTTGGTAGAAATGCCAACTAGTACACAGTATGGAAATCAGCATGGGGATTTCTCTAAGAGCTAAAATTAGAAATTCTCTGTGACCCTATTGAATCCTGGAAGTATTCAGTGTACCCATCAACACACGAATAGATAAAGAAAATGTGGTATTAATAAACACTCGTTAGGTATAAAGGAGGGTACATTTAAGGCATTTGTAAGAAAATGGATACATTGGAAAATACAATATTGACTGAAATAAAACAGTCACACAATCTTAAATATCTTATAGTATCCACTATTTGAGTAAGGTGAAGTACAAAGAGAATACTAAAGGATAAATAGACAAACAACAAAGAGAGCTCTAGGATTCTTTGTTTTGTTTTGTTTTTGAGATAAGGTGTCATTATGTAGTTTTCTACAGCTTCAAACTCATGGTGGTCCTCAGACTGTAGAGCGCTGGGTTTACAGGCATGCATGAAGGACAGGATAGATCTCTTAGAAATGGAAAAGGAGCCAGGAGATCTAGGGTCTGGGGAGAAGGGTAGGGAAAGTTCAAAGGTGAGCAGAAATATGACACATCACCCAGGACTGAAGGCAGATATATTTAATGTTGACAGACATTGAAATCAAGAAATGTCAGCCTTTAAACGCGCAGGAAGGGAGGTTTTTATGAGGTTTGCAAGCAAGAATCAGAGTACTTGACTGTCTTCGGTTACTTTATACAATATGCATCACAGTGACCAGCCATTTCTAAGAAATAGAAGTAACAACTGTAACAGAGACTGAAGTCAATTAGAGGTTACCTGGGCAACTAACAGTATTTTCTGCTAGAGTACGAGAAACAGAATGAAGATAGTCCATATAAGGGAACATGATCACCTCAATATGTGTAAACATTATGCATCATAAACATGAGCTAAGAATAATAACAAGAATAATAATGAGAAGAAAGGATTTAGGGGCGGAGGGAGGGAATGTCGTGGGAATCTAAAGGGCACTAAAAAAAGGAATGTTGTTTCATGTTCCTGTGCTCACTCCTCCAGATGAATGTAAACACTGTATCCTGCAAAAATGTACTAACAAGAGAGAGAAAATTGTCTCATGATGCTCTCACAATGGGTACACATTATTCATTTAGTAGATTCCGTAGAACACAGCAACACAATGTGAACCGAAATGTAAACAATGGACTTTAATAACAATGATGCCAACCAATCCATTCTCTGTAAGAAATATAAGCCACTCTTGCAAGATGGGGTTTGGAACAGTGGGGAGAGAACTGGGTATGTTGCTACTGTCTGTACTGTTTGCTCAAATTTTTCTGTGAAATTTATTCTGTTCCAAAAAAAGGGGGTGATTGACAGGAAAAGCAAAGCTGATGTCTACATCAAACTGAGAACTGAATTGGAAAATAGTAGGGTTTATGTGAGAAATGGAAGTAGCTTTCATAACATACTGGTTTCCCGCAGTGTTGTTTTAGTCTACAGGGCGTATTTGGCAGGTCTGTAGATGTTTTAGATTGTCATGACCAAGGTCCACGGGATGACGCCTGTGTACAGTGACAAAGGACCACAGGTTGTACTACACATGTCTTGGAGTTCTTTTCACAAGAAAGGATTGTCTGGTCACAGATATTCAAATTAAGTGAAATGATTAGAATTTTAGATACTGGGATGCGTAGAACCTTCAGGGAGAGTGATTTCAGGAGGTCAGGAACAAAAACCAAAAAAGTAAACCATAATCATACTAAAAAATATTGTAATTTCTCAGACTGAAATTTGTTGCAAATACTGTGCAGATATCTTAAATAAGTTTTATTATTGAAATTTACATTTCTAAAAAAATTGACTTTGGTAGCAACATGGAATAGTTGTTCCTAACCTTAGTATTTTGACTTCTAACATGTTTTCATTAAGAAGTGTGTTGCAAATTGTTAGAAATACCTTAATAAGAACTTTAAAATATAAATAAGCATCATATGTAAGTTAAAAGTTAGTGTGTCGTGATATTAATCTGTTCACTTGCAGTAAGCTGTGCCTAATCAGAAAAATTTCAGAGACTAAAACAAGAAGTATCTTTCCCAAGTGGTAGTCGTGGTCATGATGTTTCAGTAGAGATAGAAGCTTGCTCATGACTAATGATGTAGGATAGACATTTGGAAGAAAGGTCAAAATGGAAGAGGAATTGAGAATTATATTCTTTAGCTTTATTTATGTTTTTATTTACCTTTGTCATACTGGAGGTTGAAGTCAAAGACACTATGTCACAATGCTATGTCTCCAGCCCTTTTCAATTTGCTGTGTGATAGGCTCTTAATAAATAAGCCTGACTGTTTTGGATATGTGGTTAAACTTCTTGTATTGCTAAGATCACAAAACACAGCCAAACTTTTCCTTTTACAATAATTTTTTAAAGTACTTGTGATATTGTATATTTAATTCCAACTTTTTGTATGTTTATGGTTAGTACAAACAAAATTGGATGCTTAATTGTATTACACAGACTTGCAAAAGTCACTATTCTATGTTTGAATTTTTAGTCTGTCACACTTTCTATGTAGATAATGGCTTCTGTAAGAGGAATAACTTTCCCCTTTCCCACTTTTATGTATTTTAATTCTTTCCCTTGTTTTACAACATGGCTAAAATTTTGGTATTTGGTTAAGAGTGAAAAGAATAGAAATCTTTTCCTGATTCTGATCCCCTAGTCATTCAGCCTTAGCTATATTCATAAGTGGAAGGTTTTTGCTCCTCATTAAATTAAATTCTCTTTCTTACTCTCCACACTCATATTTCTAGTTTTCTTGCAGATGTAACTTTGACTCGGGAACAAACATCTGCTTAAAATCACATTTATGTGTAACAACTATTAAAAGAGGAGTGTGTCTCCTTTCTTCTTACAGCAAACATCAAATTTGAAAATCTGCTAATTCTCTTAATGCTGCTTGCTGTCGCAGTGGTATATATTTCCACTTTTTTTGTTAAGATAATGATTTAAATTTGGGGCTCTAATTTTACGCAGCTGTGGAAAAGACAAGTGGTCCTCTCTATTATAGGCGGTTTCCTAGTGACAAGAAGCTCACGTGTGTTTCAGCAAATGCACTTGACAGAGAAAGTGCCTTCAGTCTGTGCTCACCTATCTGCTTCCTTTATATTCATTTGGATTTTTAAGCAATAATTTTATTTCCATTTTATTTAAATTGAAAGCATTTTTTCTAACTTCTTGGTTTGTTTTCCAAAAGCAGGGCTAGCAGAACATGTGTTCCACCATATAGTATCCTTACATAAAAAAAAAAAAAAAAAAAATCTATTCTGACCTACGAGGTTACTAAGTAGGTTTTATTTTGTTTTTCTTTGTTTTGTTTCAACACTGTAAATGACAAAATTTTAAAACTGCATCTTCGGTGTATCCTCCTCCACAAAACCTGAAGTATTTAACTCAGACTCCATGGTCAAGAAATACAGAAATAAACATTTAACGGTAAGATTATATTTATTTTTTCCTCCTTACTATGAAAGGAAATATTACCTCTTTCAATGAACTGTCCCATTTTCTCCTCAAGCTACATTCATGTTTATAAATTCAGAGAACATACCCAGAAACTCCAAAATAAATTTTCAGAAATACAAACAAGTTTGCATCTTTTTCTTTCCTAAATATTTATATGTGCATTTTGCTTTAAAATCCTTGATTTTGAAATCCAGTACATGTTCATTTTATAAGAATTACATTATCGACTAGTTTGTTTGGAAGCAATTATAGACAAATTTTGAGCCAGTGTGGTAAAAACACGATTGCTCCAAAAATTATATCCCTCAGAACGCTATGCCTAGATGATATGACAAGCATAATAACTGGAACACTTTGAGAATTTGAAAATCTGATTAAAGAAAATGTTCTTGCAAATATACCTTCAACTTGGGAGCAAAAGTCTACTTAAAATAACACTTACATGTAACAGTTAATAAAATGGTACACTAATACATGGGTTAACTTTTCAACAAATATGTAGTGATAACTGTTACTTGGCAAGCCCTGATATGTTAGACATACAGCTCAGAAATAACAGAGCTTGCATCATAGTTGGTGATTTTACATAAAATTATTTAATAACAATCACACATAAAGTTAATAATTATTCAAAATATTAACCACCTAAATGCCTAGTTATCCTAGTATGATAGTTAACTATTATATCACATTGAATAAGAAATGGACATTTGATTGGATCAGCATCATTCTGTGTGACTCAAGGGATTTACTGAAGACAGAAGACACCCCTAGATGTGAGTGGTACCAAAAAACAGATCTGTTGCCTGACTGGAATAAAAGGAACATGGCTTGCTTCTGTCTTCTCAGAGGAGCTGTAGTCTTTACTCTGCTCTTGATGTCATCTCCTGGCTTCCAGTGCAGCCCCTTCAGCCTGCTGATATGGACTTGCACGGGACATTGCGGTAAACTCCAGGCCTCTGACCGCTGATTTTAGGTCTTCAGCACCCAGACAGGCCTTGTATAGTCTCCCACCTCTGACTCTGCCAGTGCCCATTCTAAGCCTATCTTGTGAATCCTTATGTATTTATGTATCTAACTTTAAATCTGTTTCTCTAGTCAGTACTATGTAAAACACTTACTGATACTCTAATCAAAATCTTGTGAGCAAACCACTTGGAACCTCTTTTGTTTCTTTGTTGAAAAGAAGCTTTCTTTCTCTGAATAAATATATTCTGCTCTTCAAAGATTTCTGTCAGAGTTTTAGTTAAGACATTAGCTTTTTAAAATAGTAACACATACGTTCTTTTTATTGTGACATTGCGATAAATCTCATTGATTACACTTCTGTTATGTTACAGGATTCCTTTGTTCTGACTATTGTTGCCAGAGATCGAACCATGATCCTTGTACTTGCTAGGTAAGCATTGTGTCACTGTGCTGCATTCTCAATTTTCTCTATTTTTTCTAAGCTACTTTTTTTCTAAATAGTATGTAGACCTGCTGAGTAAACTTCCTCATGCGACACTCAAGTCATTGCTACCTGTATTTTGCTCAGTGTCACTGAAATATGTCACCAGTGACCTCTCTGTTGTTAAAACCAAGGTGCACTGTTTCTGTTACCTGAATTACCAACAGCCCTTCCAAATAGAATTATTCTTCCAGATTACTGTACATTTTATTATCCCTCCCAAACCATAAGCCTATACTTGTTGACATATATTACTTTAAACTATTCCCATGGTCAAAGTCCCTCCGTTTTAAAAATAGAAAAAAAGCCAAGAATTTCAGTCACAGATCATTGAACTCATGTATAGATAATTAGCATTAGCGAAGTAATGAAAAAGTGAGACCTATGCAAAGTTAGTAAAACCCCTGAGGTTTCAGAACCAGAAGCATCACCAAAACATAGGAAATCATCAAAAGCTACTGTGCTCACAAGCAGTGGCTGGTGTTGCTCTCTAGGTACAGGAAGGGAGGAAGAAGCAGTGGGGAGTGTGAGTGGTTAGAACTCTGTATGTTGTTTCTTCTGGAACATGCTATGTATGTGCTTGAGTTAGAATTCCATGGCTTGGGCTGGGGATTTAGCTCAGCGCCATAAGCGCCTGCCTTGCAAGCAGGCAGTTGTGAGTTCAATCCCTGGTACCGATAAAAACGAAAAAGACCAAAAAAAAAAAAAAAAAAAAAAAAAAAAAAAAAAAAAAAAAAAAAAAAAAACCAAAAAAAAAAACTCCATGGCTCTAGAGCTGTGATTGTTTGCTTATGCAAAAAGGATGAGTGAGTCCGTTCCTCACCCTCACTATCAGAGTCTGCACCCAGATGATATGGAAAGGTTCAAAATGGAGTTTGCAGACCTCCATCCCCGGTATCACAGGGCATGTCAGGGAGTGATGAGCCTGGCACAGACAGAACTCCCCAAATCATTCAGCCCATGTGATAAACCTTTGCTTCTTCAGTGTTCTGCTAAAGCGCCAGCTCATTTGCTATCACCAGAACCCATTTCAACCTTCCCATTATGCTCATTTTATCATAATAAGTTTGTGTCTCCAGGATACTGGCCTTTCCCTTTTCCATTACGGACAATTATCCATCAGTCCTTCAGCCTCTTTCTTAAATCTGCTTGCCCTGGAAGATTTTGTGCATACCCCTCGTTAAACTCATTCACTTCATAGTGCTTGGCACATGGTCTCGGGAAACTATGCATTGAATGGATAAAGCAGAGCTTTCACCTAAATTTGTATCTCTTTCAAGATTATTATATTATGCTTCTTTCTTTAAATAATTATTGTTGCGCTAAATATATCACTCTATATTTCCTTTCCTTCAGGGTACAAATGATGTCTTACTGTTGTCTGCAGTCCACAGATGTTAAGTGCTCACTAATTGATACAATTTCCAGATTGAATATACACAAAGAGAAAAGCAGAAGAAGTACCATGAATATATGAAGTCTAATTTTAGAAAGGCCAGAAGTTGAGCTTCTTCAGATATGAATTTTCTAGTTTTTGTACTTTGTGTTCTGCTCCTCACTGACGTTTAATCTTTAAAAGAAAAAAATGTCTAATTTTCTGTAGACCCTGACATTTCTCGGTTCAGCTGATATATGAAAATTACAAGGAATTACCCTATCTGTCTACATTTCTTTTCTTGGTTAATTTTTGCACATTATCCAATAACTGTGAATGCTTGTTTCCCAACCATGGCATTCCATCGTGTTCTTCTTTAGAATCCACAGTCTGGACACATAAAGAGTACCCTATCAGTGCTACTTTGTTTTCCCCATAACAGCAAAACACTAAGGCCTTACCCCTTTCCAACTGTTTTGTTTCTGCAGATGGTCAGTGTCCTCCAGAAAAGAGAGTGTTTTAATTGCCTGTTCATTCTGTATTCAATAAATAGGTTTTCCAAAGTTTCAACCTCATAAATAATTTTAACTACTATTTAATGAGTAGAAAATTCAGTTTATTTTTCTTCTGATATCACCAATATTGAAAATTCTTCATTTAGCGTATTTCTCATAGAAAATCCACTTTTAATAAAATTTTAATGAACCAGGGGCAATAGCTCACAGCAGTAATCTCAGGTACTAGGGAGGCTGAGGTGGGGCCAACTTGCCTTAAAATAAAAAGGGCTATGGAATGCAAAACGAAAAATCCACAGTAATACACACAAAAAATCAAGATAAAACTAACCTATTTGCATGATGATATTTCCAATAAGCATTCAAAATATAAATCCAAAATGTGCTATAAATAAACACAAGGCATTGTGATAAACAACTGCATATTCAATCATGCAAGGGAGAGAAATTTTGCAAACTACGTTGCCAAACCACAATCTCACTGAATTAAAAATTAGTATTCACTTAGTTAATTCTTCAATTATTTTTTTGAGATTCATCTATATGCCATTTGAAGACATTATTAGAGAAGATTTGAATAATAAGAAAGGATTAAGTGCTAATTTTAAGAATGTCAAGTAATTGTTTTATATATATGCCACCAATATCTGATCCTCTTTCAATATCTAAAATAATATTTAATATATTAATATCTAATATAATAAATTTCACCATGTAAAATTAATATGCAAAGAGATATACATTTAAAAATTAATACGTAAGCAGATTAAAAACAGTACAAGCCAAGCAATAGCAATAAGGAAGATATATTTCAATCAATCCTTAACTTGGTTTAAAACTCTATGTGGTATATTGATTTGTCCTTGACATGTGCCCAACCTTTTAAATTCAATACTTTTTTCATCAGTGAGTGATGCAAACTCAAGCAAACCCACATTACTGAATTTCTTTGAGGTCATAATTTTACTGAGAGCCTCATGTTGCATTTGGAGTCTTTGATTCTGAAAGCACATTGCAAACAGTAATAAGCCTTACAGCCAATTTGAGCATTATTGGACATGAAAGCATTCAAGTGTCTGTTTCTTTCTGAAAATATCAGCTGACAAATCAGTGATACCCAGTCCTGTCTCTTAGTGTGTGCTAATGAGCCTGCAAACGGCATCCACATTTACAATCCCTTTGGCAGTATTTATCGATCTGCAAGCTGGATGGCTCTAAAACGAATCACTAACTAAAAAGACTGTATTTTTGCGAAAATGTGTAAAACATGTGGGTGTGGCATCCTGATGCATTTATTGAAGAGAACCAAAATTTCACCCACTGCAAAACAGAGGTAAATTCTAGATTTTGAAGGCATTACAAGCCTCATCAAACTTCAATAACACATAGTCTACCATGGATTCTTTTTTCTTCTAAAAATACACTGCAAGATAACATCTGTCAAAGAAGTTTACATACACACAATTTAATGAGATTATTACATGCATTTTTGAATAAAATCATGTAAAGAAGAATTTCCACTGTGCATTCCTTTCTTTCTCTCTTTCTCCTCTCTCTCTCTCTTCTTCCCTTTCTTTCTTCACAATATGTAACTGGTATTCTGTAGAGAAGTGCTTTTCAAAACTGCTCCCTGAAAGTCATCCTGATTGAAGAGGGCCTGGGAATTTCTCATTTCCAAAAATTTCCCTGGGGATGTCTGTGTTGCAGGTGTGTCAACCGCACTTAGAGTAGTATTATTATAGAGTTTAGTTTGAAAGATGCTCCTCTAGATAAAAGATAATAAGAAGCTAATCTAGGGATTTTGACTATGAGACTGAGAAAGAAAAAAAATTAAAATGAGTACTTTTTCAGGGCTATAAGTATGGATTTTTAGCATGGCTGAAAAATAAAACTGAGTTATTAGTGGAAATAAAGATGTCAGTTTCATGAATTTTATAGGGATTATGAGTTTCATTTCAGCATGCCATTACGTGAGAGTCTCTAACTCATTACTGAAAACAGTTTCTCACATATCCCTATACTTTCAGTTCATCTTATGGTAAATGTGGCTTAAAATGGAAATGTTGGAGGAACAGAGCAGAGAAACCATCTATATTTTGGGAGTAGGCAATAAAGAAATGCCACAGAAGTCATAGAGGATTGCATTAGAAGAATACATTGATCAGAAACCAAGTGCATGAATAATTAGAGAGGAGTCCGTCAGCAACTGCAGATAATATGACAGGTATAAGCACATAAATAAAATTATTTTGCTTGTTATCTAAACAATTATTCAACAAGTGTGGAATTTGCAAGATCAAACAGCAAGATACAACTAACAAACAGGGAAGAGAAAATGAATGTAGCAGACATTGAGTAGAATTTTTAATAAAAAGCAACAAGGAGAAATAGAGACAGTCTGGTTGAGACAATAACAAGGTTGATTTATTTTGCTTTGTTTTCTCTGAAAGAGACAAGCTTGGATATGTTGTGAGAGGCAGGTGAGGTCACCAGACAGGAAGAGACTGAATGTACAAACAAGAATGGACAAAATTGATGGAGAACAGTCTTGGAGAAAAATAGACTAAATTGGATCAAAATCACCAGTGAAAGCATCAGATCTGAATGAAGATGAGGCTTATTTCAGGAAGAGAATAGGAGGAGGATGAAGATAAAGGTTATGGAAGTTTCTAGATGGTACAGGAAAGTAGCAAATGCTTTTTGTGTTGTAAATTTCCCATCCCTTTCTCATTATTAAAGGCTTACTTACATTTCATTTGCCTATAAAGAGCTTTCATATGTTTCCAAGGGAAACAGAAAGGGGAAAAAAGAAAAAAGAAAAAAAGAACTGGGGAGTGGAAGAGCCCGGAGTGTCTGTACAGTATCTGTTCTACCTAGTTTTCCATCAGACATAGCTTGTGATTTGGTAAATGATTCTTCTTCATTTCCCATATGGTCTTACTAAAACTGTAACTCTGATCTCTACATTTCTGAGCCGGTAGAACCTGCCTTTCCTGCTTGCTCAGTATTAGACAAGAAAGGTTAGAGTGAAATCATTCCAGTGGTCCTGTAATTCACAT